TTTTAGCAGGGTTTGAAGTAGGTGAGATGGTATAGATTGGCTTTGAATTTTAAGACCTATCTGTTCCCATTTGTTTTGGTGATCTATTACTTGGACACCACTGCTATGTAGAAATGAACCAATTTAATTCTTCCCTTTTTTAAGGATAGAGAACATGGCCATGCGACTGGAAGAAGTAAATGAGCGCGAGCACTGCATGAAGGCATCTCTCCAGACTGTTGACATCAGGCTTGCTCAGTTGGAGGATATGATAGGAAGAATGGCGATGGCCTTGGAAAAATTGACTGGTATAGAGAGAGGTGAGACGACCAAGATACGATCCAGGACCTCCTCCGACTGTACCGACACAGCCTACATTGTAAGGCAGAGTAGCTTCAACAGTCAGGAAGGAAATACTTACAAGCTTCAGGAGAGCGTAGATCTCACAGGAGAGGAGTCCATGTCCCCAATGTCACCTACAATCACTCCCCGCATGCGAAGCCACTCTTTCTATGCAACAAATACGAAGGAGAAGTGTGGGCTGGAAAAGTTTGAAAGCATTTTTAAAGAAAGATCCATGATCCTGCACCGTGCTAGCAGTTCTCACTCCATAGCAAAAGAAGCAAAGGTTCCCTTAGCCCCTACCAGCACTTTGTCGATTGCCCCAGACTCCAGAAGGCCTTCATCTTGTATAGACATCTACGTTTCTGCCATGGATGAGATGCAGTCTGAAATAGAGCCTCTCAACAGCTCAATAAACATTCTTGGTACTGGAGATGTGGCTCTACAGGCTCACATAGCCTCTTCCATTTTAGCTAACAGTGCGTACATTAGCAGTACACCAGGTGAAAGAATTTCTGGCAGGAGTCTTGATTATGAGGAAACTTCTGGAATAGAAACAAGAGCATTTTCTTCAGACTATTCACAAATCACAGATTGCCAAATCCCCTGGGATTCAGACCCTCCCTTGTATCACACCTTAGAGCGATCTAAAAGCAGTCGTTATCTGCCTACAACTCCATCTATTCTGGAGGAAACATCAATCATGAAATCTCACAGTTTTATGTTCTCTCCATCTCGAAGCTACTTCAGCAGCCTTGGCGTCCCAGTCAAAACAGCAGAGTACACAAGTATTACAGACTGCATAGACACGAGGTGTGTGAGCACTCCCCAGACCATCGCTGTGAGGGCCAGTTTCCCTGGAAGTCTTGGAGGCAAGGTGGAGGACTTGGGATGCTGCCACCCAGAGAGAGAGGCAGAACTAAGCCACTCAAGCTCTGATCATGAGGATATTGAGGCCAAAGACAAGAAGGGGACCCCTTTATCTCCTCAAGATGGCAATGCTGCAAGAACTCTGACCAACAGCATCCCACTTCCAAAAACAGAGCGAGCCAACAGCTACTCTGTGGAGGAGTCCAACATGTATGCACAGCACACACAGAAAAGCTATTCTATCAGTGACAAACTTGACAGACAGCAAAATGCAACAGGCCTGCGAAATCCCTTCCAGAGGAGTAAGTCCTTGAGGCCAGAGAGCAGAGGGGACAACCTATCTATGAGGAGACTGTCGAGAACAGGAGCTTTCCACAGCTTTGAGAGCAAGCACAGCTAGGCCTAGACAAAGCTCACAGGCAGTCTAAGGGTCATCTGCTCTCCAGTCCATTTTCCTTAGAAGACTCCAGAAAAAAAAAAGGAAACACACCCCCCCCCCCCGTTATGAAATCACAAGTAATAAGTGAGTAGGTTCAGAAATCTGTCTTTTACTAGAAGGCATCATAAGATGTTTGGTGACTATTCACAAGTTTTTAGGACCCAGGAATTAGCTAGCAAAAATAGATATACAAATTAGATAGTCTAAACGTCAATCCTGGCTTCTTTTTCATCTGTTTCACCATTGTGATGACTGATGAAAAGCATTTGTTATTTCTGTAGAAACCAGCAGCAAGCAAACCTAAACTCTCCCAAATTCTTCACATCCCCACACTTGTGAAACTGAAGAAAGATGAACAAGATAACAACCGTAGAGTTCACTTATCTCTTTTTGTATTAACTTCTAGTGCCACAAAAAGTTTATATTTTCAAGAGCAGAAAGGGAAATGAAATGCCTTTTGTACTGCAACTTAAATGGAGGAAGAATTTATGTTAAAATATCAGATGATTTACTGTATAAAGCAGGCATTCTAGATTCTAGAACAGCTGAGCAAGCTCAGGATGAATGTAATTAAGCGGAATGGTATATATTTATTTTTTTACCACATTCGTCATCAATATGTTGTCTCACTAAATTAAAGGATGTGATGGAACAGTAAGAATAATGTCCTACTAGTGTGATCAGAGCAGGGCACAGCAATATCATCAGGTTCTCACTGCTCTGTTTAATTGCTTATACAAATTGTGGAGGTTTATTCACCAAGTTGCTGTTCCATTTGAGTTGCCGATTTTTCACATCATTCTCTCACTCAAAAATATACATCTTTTTTATGAGGACATGGCTGTATTTGAGCATTTCAAAGTACACAAGGCTCATCATGTGGTCTGAATTCAGATTAACGCCATTAGACTGAAGTTGCTTAAGGGAAAATGTTCTTGGCAGAACACTGGAAAACATAAAAAAAAAATGCTTTTAAGGTAAGCTGAAGAACCACAGTGAAACTTGAGGTGCCTGTTAAAAGTAAAAGCCATCAGTTGCAAGTATGTTTCCACTGTACAGCAACATATCACACAACATGCATTTTAGTAGGAGAAAATATATCTGACTTGTAGTGTAGTTATATGGTTTTGATTGAAGTTGGTAGTATCTCTGTTGTCCCAAAGAAGGGTTCTTTCACCCGGTGTGCAATGAGCCGAAAACACAGAGTCGAGATATTTGCTTAATTCATTTCTGCGCACAGACGGGTGCTAGGCGGTAACGCCACAAAGCTAGCACACCTGGTTACTACACAGCCGACACCTCATACAGTTTAAGCAACGGTTATCAGTACAGTTCACAACTACATCGTCACCCTCGTTCCCATTGGTTCTGCCAGGTCTCGTCTTCGTTTAAAGTCACAGTACCCTCTTTTTCTACTACCGCATGCTCTATGGGGAAGGGGCTTCGATCTGCGGGGGGCTTCCCTGCCCGTGGGTGGGTTTTTTATTCTGCTAATTAGGCTAGTTCTCCCGTAGTTCAAGTAGTTCTCTCCTGTTTATCGTCTGTTTTTGTTCTCTTCAGGTTTATTTGGGTACTTCCTTATCTGGTTGCCTTATAGTGTTGTCTTGCTCCTTCCTCCTCCAGGGCCTTGTTTTGTTAACTACCTGTGAAAGACTGAGTAATGCCCTAATCTCCTTTTTCTCATACCTCCAACATCTCCACTGACTCCACCTACATTCCAAGTGCAAAACGCAGTCCACAGTGTCAACAGGAGTTTCAAACTTCTCATGAAAAGATATCACAGTGGTCAGAGGGGGAAGAGGATGCAGAAGATAAGGAAAAGGTACTGAAGCATAAAGAGCATTTGGACTCACATCCTTTATGAGGCGAAAACTTAAGCTTGAAAAGAGTTGAAGCTAGTGCTTTTAAAAATCAAAGCACCTCTAAAATGACTAACAGCTATGTAGAACCAGATCCTTTTTGTTTTAAAATATGAACACGTGCAACTGAGGTACATCCCATTTATTATCTTCCAAATCTCTAAGGTAGCTTTGAAAATGGAGGCTGACATTTTCTCACTAAGATCTCACCCTGGCAGACTCTGAGCACTGTATGACAGTTAATTCTGAAGGGCAACAAATCCCCACCCAAAAATAATCATCTGCCTCAACACAAAGGACAAAGAAAGTAAAAACCCTTTAGGCACCGACTCCCTTTGTTGGAAAGTTCATAAAATAAAGAAATGCAATGTAGTGACATTAAACACAACCTGCTTCATACTTTCTGCACTGACGTGTTCCTTTCTTTATTTTCTTTAACCAGGCTTTCAATGAGCTAAACCCCATCCAGACACTGTTTACACAATTACCTTGCAGTCCATGTGCAGCTTTATGGTCATGTGGTGACACTGAGAAAGGTCAGAAACTGTCCCCTTTCTGTGCATTATGAAGCATGCTTGTGACAGGCTGATTGTTAAACAATAGCACAAAGCCCAGGGACAAAGGAACTTGTGTTTAACAAGCTGCTTCAAATGTGACAACTTTTGTTAGCATCCTTTTCCTAAAGCTTCTCCAAATCACAGAATCACAGAACAGTTGAGGTTGGAAGGGACCTCTGGAGATCATCTAGTCCAACCCCCCTGCTCAAGCAGGGTCCTCTAGAGCACATTGCCCAGGACCATGTCCAGATGACTTCTGAATGTCTCCAGGGAAGGAGACTCCACGACCTCTCTGGGCAACCTGTGCCAGGGTTCTGTCACCCTCACAGTGAAGAAGTTTCTCCTCATGTTCAGACGGACCTTCCTGCGTTTCAGTTTGTGCCCGTTGCCTCTTGTCCTGTCCCTGGGCACCACGGAGAAGAGTCTGGCCCCAGCCTCTTGACACCCTCCCTTCAGATACTTGTACACATTGATGAGATCCCCCCTCAGTCTTCTCTTCTCCAGGCTGAACAGGCCCAGCTCTCTCAGCCTTTCCTCATAGGAGAGATGCTCCAGTCCCTTAATCATCTTTGTAGCCCTCCGCTGGACTCTCTCCAGGAGCTCCATGTCTCTCTTGCACTGGGGAGCCCAGCACTGGACACAGGACTCCAGGTGAGGCCTCCCCAGGGCTGAGTAGAGGGGCAGGATCACCTCCCTCCACC